TACTAATAAAACTAATACTAAGGATTCTATTGGTTAAATAATATTTGTACTACACTTAGTAGTTATACATAGATAAGAAATAAAAAATTTAAAGTACTAATATAATACTAATATAACAATATACTTCTCTCTATTTTAGATATTCGTACTCATATTTTTAAAATGAAATCTCATTCAGACATCTTTATTTGCGAAGTTAGCTTGCCTATGATTGAAAAATTCAACTTACTATGTATAATTGCATACATTCTGGATTCTCGATACAAATTGCAATTTATATTATTTTATTATTATAAAAAAGAAGAACAAGAACTAGATTATGTTAATGAAAAGGTACAAGATATTCATACAAGGTAAATTATTGCTAATTTATTAGTAATTTACAGTATATTACTTATTATCAATTAGCTTATATTTTTAATAATTTAGTTTTGAAGATATTTATCTTAACTATTATTCTTCTTCAGTTCTTAAACAAAATCCAACTAATACTAAAAATGCCACTAGTATCAAGAATAATGCTCTATTATTAAAGATCATATCGATGATTATTATGAATATGTAATGAAAAAAAACAGACTAGTCAAAATATTTTTTGTGAATTTAAACAATATATTGATAAGCAAGTTGCACCCAAAACTACTAATATTATTAAATGGTGAAAAAAAAATAATCGTTATCCAACTCTGGCTAAAATAGCACAAGATTTCCTTGCTGTGCTAGCTACAAGCATAGCTTCTGAACAAATGTTTAGTTGTGCTAGTTGAATTATTGTACCTCATTAGATCCGGATACAATAACTGCACTAGTATGCCAGCGAAACTGGTTAGAAATGGCAACAAAATTTGGATGGGACTTTTAATAATTTTAGATTAACCAAAAGTCGATAGTTCATTAAATATTACTCAATAGCAAACAATGTTTTTTAATTATATTTAGAAAATAACAAGTTGCAAGATTTTCATAATAAAATTGTTAAAGAACATGCTTATCAAAACTGAAATATTACTTTTAAATTACTTCATAAATCAAATAATTATCATGAGGTATTTATAAGATAATTTTATTTATTAATTATATTATTCGTGATTTACTATTTATATTAATAATAATAAGTTACAATTGTGATGTAATATTGATTTTGATTTATCAGCTTCTAAAAATTATAAAATTTAAAAAATTCAAATAACAACAATAAATTTGAGTTTTAATAAAATAAAAGCACTATTATTCTACTCAAATCAAA